TCAGCAATGATCTCATCAAAATTGGTCCATTAGAATTTTTTTACACAGTACAAAATTTTAAAGTTATGCATACACTGTAGATATATATTTTATCCCTGGTTTTTGGACCATGGAAATGACCAGTACTACTGAAAGTGTGTATATTCCGAAATTTTCATACATGGTTTTCGTGTATAGAAAGGATATCTAAATTGTATGATTTTATATTTGCTTTATCGAAGAAAAGACAACAACACAAAAAAAAAAAATTCTTTTCTTATTGACTTTATTATTCATACCCTAACTGTGGCGTATAAGTAGACATGCACGGCTTTGTATTGTAAATTTAAATTTGGCTGCCATTTCAACATGGGCAAGCCACAACATATCAACATCAAATCAATGTTCAAATTGAACTGTTCAATACAAATTAAGAGCCATTCTCTGTAATGACTTGAACTTTTATATAGGATCTGTGGCAAGCATAGTCTCAGAATTTTTCCAAACTCTGTATGATAAAAGTCTTTGATACTGTAAACTCAAATCAGGCAAAAATTGGTTGCTACGTGTCATGGTTACCATAGAAACATGTCATAAAGTTTGAAAAATGGCATTTTTTAACAGGTTCAGAGTCCCACAGTTAACGTTTGCAGCAAAGCAAACAAGTGGCAATGACTGTTTCTGAAAGTTGAAGACCTGATGTCTTATGCATGATAAACATGTTTCGTAAATCAACTATTATATACGTTACTATGGAAACAAAGTATTCAAAAGTTCTAATGTTGTTCATTTAATTTTAAAAAGTCATACACTTAAGGAGGCTGGGGGTCAACAAATTAGCCACAAATTAACCACCAGATTTAACTTAATTTTTTAGATATGATATCTTAAGCTATCAACTATCATTTGGCAAAGAAAAATTTCAAAAATTTTAGTTTTAAAATTTGATCATTTTCTATATCTTCATATGGAGCTCTTCTTCTAAAGGAGATCAATATAGTCTAAAAATGGCCACAACCCCCCAGCCTCTTTAAGAATAAAAACAATTATAGGTTAAAATGCAAGCAAATAATAGACAAAAGATCCTTGTAACATAAACCAAGGACGAAATATGATATTTCTTATAGGTTGGCAATAGTTGCCATGGTTTTAATACTACGAAGGGATTTTAAATTTACTCTTTTAGTGTTTTAATCTTATCCTATCTTTTTAAAAAGCATATTTCTATATAACTGATGATCAATTTTTAAAGGCGTTGGTGTGACCCTAATTTTCACATTTCAAAAAATTCGAATTCAATTCTTTAAATAGACCGTTGCTATGGAAATTAGCCGAAAAAATATGCATAAAAATCTTAAAAATATTCTGTTTCCTTATATACGTACCCTTGTATGTAGATTCCCAAAACTTTTATGATTGATATTTATGAACAACTAATCTGACTTTCAATTTTGACTACCAATTTTGACTACCACCCAATCTCTAACTGGATGCAAAAAGCTGGCACATAGGGTTTAATATTAATATAAAATTAACAAAATCGAACTAATTCATTTCTTGGTAACCATAGCAACAGTGTTGTATTTTTCAACAAACTTTATCAATGTATAATATTCAACTTTAGTTCTACCAGATAAGTACTATTCCAGGTGAATCAAATAATATGTTTCTTGATAAAAAGATAATTAAATTCCTAAGGCAGTTACAAAATATCTCTTTAAACATATGGTACGTTGTTTCCATGGTTACACTGCAAAGTAACAATTAATCCCAATTTTTTTTATGTTGTGGGTGTTGCAAGGTGCTAAGGATGTATATGTGCCAGTCATGAATTTTATTGTTTTTCCTCAAGGTAGTAGCATTAACCCAAACTTAGCAACATATTTTGCATGATTACGCCGTGTTACCATGGCAACTATGAAAGTTATTTTTATAATAATATTTCCAATATCTAATTACTTGAGGTCAAATATTTTTATTGTTTTTCTTAGGTTGTTGATTGAGTTTGATCATGTAACGCCTATCATTGTGAATATTGAGCGTTTTTCAGCATTTTCAGCATCTAAAATGTATTCAAAATGTACCCATGGTTACCACTTACTTAGAGATAAATTCTAAATAGTGTCTTTATAGCATAAGTGGCAACAAGGTGTCATGTTTATGTGAGAATGGTTTGTTTGTTTTTCTTAGTCTTTATTAAGGCTTAATAAAGATTCAAAGTAGCTGAAAATCTCCATTTTTCCAACTTTTCTGGCTGTTACCATGGCAACCAAGATACATACCAACAAAATTTTATTTGATATGTTTTGGGTGTCAAGTTGTAATAATGGGCAAAGTTTCATCAAAATCGGTGACCATGCGTGGCAAAGAAGTTTAAGTGGTTATAGAGAATCGCTATTAAAAACTTCAACACGTTTGTATTTCAACCCTTGACATAAGTCGTTATTTAAAAGTTGGGCTTGTGGTTACACATGATGTAATGAGTAATTATAAACTAACCAATGGGAATATATTTTTCAAGTCTGTCGTTATCAAATTGCTCAACACCAAAGTGTGTGGAGTTCCGAAATCACAAAACCTTGACATTGTGTAGATGCACAAAAGCTTGATTTCAAGAAATTCCTTACACATATATCAACTACTCTCGTAGTTTACATCTGCACGAAGCGCTGTGGACCGAATTTTCTTGCCACCCAAAATGTCAGTATAAATAGGTGAAATTTTCGATGGTCTTTATTTCAGGTCCAACGGTTTCTGGGGAATGTTTCCAACGGTTCTGGGGAATGTTTTGTTGTGGAAATAGTAAAAGAATATGTTAGGAACACAGCCGGTTAGTAATATTTTGAGATGACAGTTTAAATATACAGAGAAATAAATCCAGAATCGAACGCAATTTTTTGTGCGCAATAAATATACATTTTTTTCTATGGATGACACTGTAGCTCTCCGGTCTGTCAATATTTTTCAGTTCTGCAGCTAAGAGTTTCTAGCAAATATTCATTTTCTTTTTCTTGATAATAATAAAGGTGCCACGCAATCAATTTTTGTCTAAAATACTTCTCCTTATAATTTCTTCGTGCCAAAACCGACTATCCCCAGCCTGAGTCTAATCAGAAAGAGGGAATCTTAGGTTGAGAATGCATTATACGATAGTACCTTACCCCGCCCACAAGAAGCCTGATCTAAAGCTATTTGTACGAGTTTTCGCCTTCCCCCTGTAGTTCAATTTTTGCAAACGCTGTTGTCTTTCTTCTAGCTGCTTATCTGTAGCTCGCTGGTCTGAAATAATTGGGCTGGACGACCATCGTACATCCTAATTTTTTCAGATCAGCGAGCTACAGATCTGCAGCTATTTTTCTTCAATAAACTCATCTATGTTTAAATAAATAGTGTATATATGGTGTGTGTATATATACTCGTTAGGCTTGCTAAACTCGTTGTATAAAGCAAATATAAAATTATACAATTGACTCCTATTTATCTCTTCATCAGTGTTTTTCACTAATTTACAATTTTCAATTGCCCCTGAGGCAGGTGTTCTGGTGTTAGGTGGGTCTCTATTGATGGTGAAAATGCATTACCGGTAATTCGTTGAAAATCTTCTTCTCTGCTCCTAGGTAGAGTATTATTTAAACAAAATGCATGGTTATGATAAGCAAGGATGCCTCTTCCAAAATTGTGAAATTCGTGGCCCCAGGGTTGTGGGTTCTGGTGAAAGGGGGTCTATTGATTAAATAGTGAAAAAGCATAATTTTTTCGAAAATATTCTTTTCTGCTCCTGGTTATAAAGGAAAGATACTAAGAGTATAGTTATGATGAGCAAGAGTGTTTCTTCCAGAAATGCGAGTTTCATGACCCCTGGGTCATATGTTCTGGTGTAAGGATGGGCTCTATTGATTATATAGTAAAAATGCATTAGATTATTTAAAACTTATTGTCTCTGGGTCAGGGGTTCTGGTGTTTTTCAGGGGGGCTCTTTTGATTATAAAGACAAATTGTGTTAATTCGTTGAAAATCTTTAACTAAGTGCATAGTTACACTGTATGATGTTGAGGGTACCTCTTCCAAAACTTGTGAATTTCATGACCCTTGGTCATAGGTTCTGGTATTAGAGCAGGTCTGTGTTGAATCTGTAGTGAAAATGCATTATTTCATTGAAAATATTTGCTCCTTGGCATATCGGAGGCAAACAGTGTAAAAGTTTTAATAAGCATTTAAGGATATTTTTACCAGATTTTTGAACATCTCGACCATTTGGTCAAGTGTTCTGGTCCTGGCCAGGGCTCTATTAATTTGTATTCTACTGAAAGAAGTTATTCCCCTTTGTCATTCACTTTTGTAAATAGTGTATTTGGAAGGTTGATATAAAATAAGTGAATTATGCAAGACTTTGTATAATACAAAAAGTACTTTTATAGTTTTAATGATCAGGTAGACTTGTAAATAGTAGATTAAAAAAATGAGACAAAAATAACTTATCTTATTAATTGTTCTTCAAAGACCAATGCGAGAGGTTATGACGTAAGTTTAAAATAGTATAGAAGCACTAATACTAGTAGTTTGTTAATAGTCTGTATGTGATAGTGATAAATGGGGGACAGATTAGAACTTAATTTATGAGTTGTTACTGGATGTTAGATTAATTATTTCGTTGATCCTGATCATCATTTTCTCTTGCTTTTGGGCAACAAAGCTTCATCTATCAATTTATTTTATACTGGATCTTCTCAATTGTTGTGTTGTGTTTTACTCGGGTGACCGTTAAGGCCCTTGGGTCTCAATTTTTAAAAAAAAAATAATTCCAGGTAGACAACATGGCTGATTTCCCAAGGTTTAAATGTATCTATGCATATGATTTTTGCTTAGGAAGGGTGAGGGGGCTAAACAGCAGATCGATAAACATACGACATTTTTCAGAATGAAACGATAGCCGTTTACCATAGAATTGAACATATGTTGTTTCGTTATAAAAACATACCAATGGATGATAGTATTTTGTATTAAAAATCATAAAATGAATATTCTTTCAGCTTGGCAGTATTTTATTCATTTAAAAAATATTAAAAAATCACATTAATAAGAGAAAAAATGAAATGACAAAGAATTTCAATTTTAAAATCAGTATGATACTCAAAGTATCATTTGGAAAATCTTCGCGAATTCATCGATGGTCTGTCTCTAAGATGTAATTACTGGAAGCGAACTTGGGTCAGTCGGACGTCGCCTTTGATCTGAAGAGTGTCGATCCTGTTCAGTGGTTGAAGGCGATGTCTGAACTCCAACAAATGCTGATTATTTACGGCAATCTGTAAGACATAATTTATTACATGATAATTTTCAAATTAACTTTTTTGACGTTATTATATACATGTATGAATATTCTATTTAAAAACAATTTGCACTGAAAATACCTTAAATTTATCATGTTCCGCCATTATTATCATGTCGAAATTGGCGTTTGGCATGAAAGGGAAATAAGGACTGTGTCTCTCCTCCGATCCCCAGCCACCACCCTGGCAAGAATTCCTCAGGACGACATTGAAGTCACCGCCAACTCGAAGTCGGACGTCACAGTGAAGTGCGATGTCACTCCCGTCATATGGCCCACACATTAGGTTTATGGTGAACCTGAAGTGTGATCAAACACAGGACCGATGATTAAAGCTTAAATATATATGTTTAAATGTCAGATTTTTATTATTTCAATGTAGAAATGATTATTTTTATTTTTACCAAATATGTCAAATATATGCAAACAGTGCCAGCCTTGAAGATTGTACGCTAGAAGTGAACTTCTATCCTTCCGAAAGCAAAATAAGTGATTGAGCAAATGATAGTGTTGATAACACGGAAAATAATTATTTAAACCAATTTTCACCTCTCCGCATTGGGATGTGGCACGCCGCTGATGAATATCATTTTTCCCGGGAAAATCCCTCCACTAATTGGCGTGGTAAATGGAACCGGCTTAAGAAAGACAATGTTTCGTAATAGAATATGTAAATAGTATTTATTTTTGAGTATATATATGAAATCAATCATAAACCAAAAAGGTGCTTTTAAATACTCACAGGGTTGTAAATGGGTTGGGCTCCTCCTCCCGGGTACCCCCCGGCTGGAGGGTAAGCTCCCGCGGGTGGGGGCGGACTCGGCATGGCTGCCTGAAAAGCATTGCAATCCATGATAGCTCTTACATATGTGTGGAATTGGTTGTGATTTGATTTTTTACAATTAATGATTTAAATGCGGGAAATATTTCCTTGTATTTCTGGAAACCCATGTACGATCGATTGGCTTTGTGACAAGAACTAAATTTATCAATGTGTCGAAATAGATGCACCATTTAAAGAATCATTATTTATAGAATAAATCATTATTTATACATAAAGTTCTGTATGATAAGACATAAGAAACTTATTAATGTACAAGGACGTGCATGCGATACTATATTGACTATATTTTTATCACACAGTTTGAGACTCAGCTGACCTAGATCTTACGCACTCAAGTATCAGTCAACCAACTTTTATTCACCGACATTTGATATCTTCTGACATCCTGTGATAAATATTGTCAGCTGTACTTGTTTCGTATATGGGGTCACCCCCTTCTTTTTCTTTCCACAAGGTACCTAACTCAATTTCAGGCACCCCCGCTTCAAGCTTGTATTTTGTTAATATATCAATCATTAACCTACTTTAAAATGACATCGTTCGCTTCGAGAGACTTATTTATAGACAAAAATATAAAAACCAAATACTTACTGGATTAACATCGGAAAAAACTTCTATGTTAAGGACATAGGATGCTCAAAAATATTAAATATTTTTAAATAGAATTTTAAAAAAAAACACTTTGTAGAGGCTTTATATTGGATACCTGTTGAGGACAGATCAAAGATTAAAATATTTTTATTGCGCATAAACGCACTGATTATTGCGTTTTTAATGCAAAAAAATTCATCAAGATTGCGTTTAATCGCCAAAGATTGTAAAGATTGGAAAAATACTTTGCGTTTAATTGAAATGAACTTTGCGATTAAACGCAGTCTTTTGTATTTAAACGTAATGGTTATTGCCAATAAACGCAACATGTTGTATTAAATCGCAACACGGTATTTGTTGCGTTTAAACACAATAAAAAAATCCTTTGAACTGGCATCAACGGGCCTCCGTATCTTTATGTTAAAACTAGAACACATCTATATATAAGAATACCTGTATTTAAAAATATACTTGAAGCATCTGATGAAGAGGGGCTTTTTGTGAACACAAATGGATTTCCTTTTATGCGTTCACACAACAATATAAATCAATAATAAATACATGAAATATTTCAATATCCAAAAAAGTATATACTGGGACATTTTGATGGGATTTCTATTTTTATGCCCTTGCATTGAAATTAAATATAGGTATGAAAATATGTATATTTGAGGAGAGCGCAGTAATAAAGATGGGGTTCAAAAATTGGTAATAAATTTAAAACTTTTAGTATCTATTTTCTATAATTATGAATGAAAAGATATTTCGATTTGATGAGAAGGGTGGCGCACACATCTGAGATAACATATCTTTGAATTTAAATAACACGAATGAAAGGGCTAGAAATTTTATTTAGAGTCGGCCTTGTCAACATAACATGCACTTTGACCGACATATTTAGGTACATACATGCATTGTATATGACAAAAGGCAAACTTTACAACACTATGCGCGTTTAACATCTACATATACAGTAAAACTCGGTTATAAAGAACTCGCTTATAAGGGCATTTCGCCTATAGGGATTTTTTTATCCCGTAGGAGACTTTGCACTATGTTTTTTATGCGAATATAAAAAATCTCGGTTATAAGGAACCAAAATTTGAGGTCCCGGTGACTTTCTTATAACAGTTTTACTGTATATACGTGATAAAAATACCACAAGCATTCCCAATAGCAACAAACATACACCAGGATATACAAAGTGCATTAGTCAGATCTTTGCTAATGAACACTTCATAAAAAAACCCGTCGCTCTTTCAACAGATAGAATGAAGCACTGAGCAGAAAAATCAAAATTAATTTCACATCTACATAAATATACGTGATATGAATATTACAAGAATCTCCAATTGAAAAAAAAACAAAACAAAACAAAACAAAAACAAAAAAAAAACAACATATGTACCTGGCCCCAAAACTACACTGAGAATAGACTTGAAATATTAACACGATGTTTAAAAAAGTTGGAAGTATGTTTAATATTCAAATACATGTACTAACAAATGATGAACATTGTTTTATTTTCATAACTTTTTCCAGAAGAAAATTAATTTAAAATTTTCACTTAAGTCTGTTCTCAGTTTATGTTAAAATTAATGAACACATAATAAAAAGAGCGGCAATCTTTTAAAAGATCGCAAATTTTTTAAGCAGGAAGGCTAAGCACTGAGCAAAAATTAAACACAGATAAGAAAATACATTTAGATTTAATGGAGCCACACTTACAAGTCATACCGCTCTTAACTATGAATTGGAATAACAATTATTAGTCATATTATTTTCAAAGGTAGATAGAAGACCAGATTTAATAAGTAGCCATTTAGAAGAAAATTTCATGTGCAAGTTTCTTTTTAATTTTGTATGGTGACTGAAGGGGTCGATGTAGTAGTTGGCAAGCTAAACTCACCAACTTTTTGACACCCCTCCCCTAATTTATATAATGAATGAAACTGTCTATCTAAAGATCTTATTAAACCTTTTGCTCTATCATAAAATAAATTTTGCTTTTTTTTCTCTTCTTAAGCCGTCCCTGGACTCTTGAGATTAGAAAGTCGCTGAGTATTTCGAGAATAAAAGTTGGTTTGAATTCAGGTTTGTATTTTATTGAGAGTGTTGAGAACTATCTTTACTTTTGAGGGTTTTTTCAGCTGTGTTAGGGAGATTCTTGTTTTTAGGGGGTGGGGGGTCAGCTAGTGCCTCAAACCTTCGCTATCTCCCCGACCATTCGGCCTAGAAATCCCCCTACTCCGTGTCCATGTGCGCCATCAAATCGAATGCTGTAAATCTGTACACCTCCCTCTATTGTCAGAGTGTTCACGTGATGTTTCTCAACTCTATGGCGGAAATCGCAGAAATGTCTACCATTCACGGAAATCTAGAAAAATGATTATCGGTTGTAAAACAAGTCTCTTTATTTGCAATTTTCAGACTTAATTCAATTCTATTTTTTATTAAATATTTGCAAAATTTAATGATATCTCGCATAATTCTAATTACATGTATTATAAATTCACGTATTCTCCTTTTAATAGAATGGGACTTTTTTTTACTATCATTATGGTTTGAACTAGAAATGAGTAATCCTAAAATCTGTAAAATTGTTACAAATGTTGTCAAGGCAACAAAATAAACACTATTTACCTTGTAGTGGTGATGCTGACAGAGGATAGTGACCTCAAAGGGCATCCCCCTCTGAAAAGGCTGGTACCCTCCCCGCTCCTCCCCTCCCCAGCTATTGTGTTGATAATGATTTCTGACCACGCAGTTTTCATTCAGACGAGGGTTAAAATGTAAGGCTGTGTTGGAACGCGGGTTAATGTTTGGTCCGGTTTGAAGGTTGATGGAAAAACTATAGAATGATACAATAAATATAAATATATATATCATTTTTTTTCAGATTTAAAAAAAAAATACAACTGATATTTTAGAATTAACGTAATTCATAAATTAATATATACCATATGTGTGATACTTTTTTAAGGACTTCTGTGGTGAATTTAAGCTTTCACAATTTTAAGTAGAAAGCTATATTACATGTACACGGTAAAATTTGCATTTCAACTACACGGATGAATTTATTATGAATCAAGATCTTTCTTTTTGCACGTGGTGCTGACAGGACGTTCCTCACATTATTTCTAAATGTCTGTAAAGGACTTGATATTACCCTGCTTAATGGTCCTAACGGGAAGTAAGGTGTATAAAATTACGTCTCAAATAAATCTTGGGAAAACCCTCCATTTAATAAAAAATATACATAAATACTGATGGAAATTTACAAATACATATATAAAAAAAAAGACCAGAATTATGCAAATCAGACGCCTTTCCCCCTTTTTTTCCCTTTTTATTTAGCTGGAAGCTCGAGAATTCCTTCACGTGTAATAGGAAATAAAATGAGTTCATATAAGCTCAGAGATCTGTTGTGATAAAATAATTTAAAATATTTCCTTTTAACAATATGTCGCCTTCATACTGTAGAAGCCTTTCCTTTCTGTGATCTGTTGTTAGTTAAATACATAGTGTAATATGTATTTCAAAATATGTGTACCTATGTTCGTGGTGGGGCACCATGCCATTAATGACGATCTGGCGTCCATCTCTCATACCCCCGGGAATGCCGCCCACATATGGAATACCCTGATGAAATAGAACATAGAATTATCTCTCAGGAAAAAGAAAGTAGGTATAACTAAATGCAAAAACTGAACATGTTCTGTGTCAAAGTAATGGACTTTGACAGCTCAAAATTCAACGATCGACTTTTAAACGATTTTGTGAATAAAAAGGAAGCATGAAGGTGTCTGTAATCAACACGCATTAGCACTAGTTACATACAATTCTGCCAATGTAAATCTGTATTTATTTTAATATGAAAGTCAATCTGAGGAGCTGATTACTGATTACATATTTGTTAAAGCAGTGGTGGATCTAAGAAGGGGTTCGAAATTTTGTGTATTTGGCATCTAAACACACACACTCAAACACACACACAAACACACATCCGCGCTTTTTCACCTTTAGGTATTGGTATACCTTGCAAACCTATCCCTTTAAAAAAAATTTGATCCATGTCTGGAAAAATGATGAAACTGCTCATCTGCTTCTAATAATAATTACTTATTCATAGGTCCCCCTGTTCTCTATTGAGAAGTTGATGGCTCGTTTAATACTCACCCTCAAGGGGAGTTGAGGGGTAGTATTAAACGAGCCATCAACTTCCCAATTGAAAATAGCCCCCGAAATAGATGGGAGAATAGCAGACACATGTTAACAAATGATCGATACATACCTGTCCTCCTTTTCTCGTGGAGTTCATAAAATAAATTAATAATAATAACAAATAAAGATAATAATAAAATACACTTACTGGGTTCGTGACGGTTGCCATTTTTCTACTTTCTCTTCAGAGTCAGGAAATAGATGTGAAGTGTTACGTGGTAATGGAATTTAAGTATTGAAAATGTACACACCCCCACTTTTAAGTCACGTCAGGTGACCGACTCACGAGGCTATGATTGTTTACATACAATATCAAGAGGTTCAACATTCAAGCATTGCACAAAGGTAATTAGATAGATAACAAGAATACTTTTGTAAACAACAAACTCTGACAGACAATATTTTGTAAGGAAATTGGAAATTTTCGCAGATACATCTCTCTCTCTCTCTCTCTCATTGAAACTTAGCCATGGACTTACATATCTGATTTTTAATTGATAGAGCAGAGAGAGCATAAAACATTGGGGAAAGACTGATAAGTAATGTATACTGAGTTTTACATTATATTTTAACAAGTGGATAAAGTATACAGGAAACAGCTAGTAATGGTTCATTAGTGTTCACTTGAGTCTTTTATATGTATTTATTTTTTTTTACTGAAAACAATTTTCTAGTCGACAAAGATCAGGCCCGTAGCAACGGTTTCAAAAGTGTGTGTGTGGGGGGGGGGGGGACTTCCTCAAACGAAATCCTGAAATTAAAACATCAAAAGGGGGGGGGGGCAACCAGCATCTTAATGAAAATTTACTATAGCAAAATAGTATACTCAGAAAAAAGGGGGCGGGCCCCGTTCTACGGGCCTGATGATTATTATTTTAAAAAATTCAAAATATCATGTAATGCTTCACGTAATGCTTTCAATACCAGCTGCTGAAATGACACGCACAGACAATAATAAGAAACAGGGATAGTTTAAAAATGACTTTTCATGTCGAAAACATCAGAAGATTGAAAATAAAAAAAAACTTCCCTGGTAAAAATGAGGAACAAGAGGCATTTGTAGCTAGCATGACTTGTCCTTTCAAAAGGCATTCCTCGGGCTTTTATTTTCAAGTATATATACTAGTATCTCTACTTAAAGTGTTGCCAAAACGCGGAATGGAAACGGAGCGGAAATGGAAAATCTGATGTCAAGTTATTCACTTAGCACAGGTATAAGTCAGAAGTCATATTCTTTAATCTTATACATGTAGTTCATATCTAAACAAAAGTTATCGTAACAATGTGATTTATTCATGTTTTTCTTTTCTCAGAACATGCAGCATATGCATGCAATAGTCAATTAAAATACAAGTTAGACTCGCATCCCAATTATCTATCAGAATGCCCCATTTGTTACTCATCCAAATCTGAATTTGAACTATTGATCACTTATTATCAATCTGATTAAATTTAGACTTGTACAAGGTATTGAAGCGTATAGTAGACGAGCTAAAATACAAGTCTAATTCTAATTAGATTGACTTATTATGAAAGGGACAATGTTGTTTTGAAACAGGCGGAGAGAAAGAGACTATGTACACTTTGTGTAGGAGACAACGATCACTGGCATTAAGGAAAGAATTTTTTTTTAAAAAAAGGTTTGTTATAACTACAGGAGTCTTGATGCAATCCACAGGCACCTGAAAAGGGGATAAGAAAGATAATATCTTGAACCCCCTCCTAACCACTGGGAATGAATATTTTCCAGCCATTATATCTTTAACCCCCCCCCCATCATTGTTAATAAAACTGTAGGGGGCAGAAGTCAGTATTTTGCAGTCATAATATCTTGAACCCTTCCTCTAAACCACAGAGGTCTGAAAGGGCTTCAATATTTTGCAGACATTATATCTTGTGCCCCTTACCCTATCGTGTCAACCTTGCTTCCCCAGCTGTGTCAGTCGTGTCATTTTGAGTTCTATAGACAAACCTGTAAAAGGGTTTCGATTAAAATAAACCCCTAAGACAATAAGGTGCATATAACACTAATTGACAACATGCGCCGTTGTTTTATATTTTTCTGTTTTACAGCACGGGATACCCGCGATTTTGCGGATTCAACAATATCCGATATCGGGGATTATACGCGATTTCACGGATAATACCCGATTTCGGGTATTCTCTCTAACCTGTTAGAGTAATAAAGGACAGGGTGGGTAGCAACTTGATGTATGGACACTATAGAACAGCAATCAAAACTTTATAAACTGACCAATAATTCTACCGATTTCAATCTGAAAGAGCATTACTTAATTACCTCAAAATTAATTGAAATAAACTCATACGTGAAAATGGTATTATTCCTTTTCAACACTCTGAGGTCTATTTTTTAAATGGAATTTTAGGGAAATAATGTTACCTTTTGATTTTTTCCCTGGCTAGTTCATGACACATCTTCTAACCAATTACCACGGCTCCAAACAAATAACCAGTAAATTGGGTACAAACTGCCATCCCTAACATGTATGTACAAAACAAAAAAACTCCTCCTCTGCTTTTAAGGGCTTGGAACCTTCTGCTCGAAAAAATGCAAATCCTTAATGGAAGCAATTTTTTTTTTCAAGCAGGCAGCATTAAAAGTTTTGTGCTTTTTATTTTACTATCTTTCTTTTCTTTTCAAATTCTTTTTGTTTTCTTTTTGTTCTTTTGTAAGTTTATTTTTGTTTTCTTTTTTTTTTTTTTTTTTTGGTTTTTGGTTTTTTTTTTGCACAAAACTTTGGCCAATAAGATCAGACAATTTGACATAACACTATTCACAATTCATCATTCACTGTCACAATTTAACGTGTACATGTACTGTTACTGCAAAACTAGTGACAATTCATTATTCACTGTCACAATTTAACATGTGTATGTACTATCACCACATAACTAGTCAAAATTCATTTCTCGCTATAGTATCGTAACGCGAGAAATTATAAGTCCACACTGCACCTCACTAATCACAAAACAACAACAGTATATGCATTGTAGCGCATTGTAAGAGGACGCTAGGATATATTTCTCACAGCAAACAGAGCAGTACTATTATAGTAAAATGTAAACCCAACTATGCTTCCCTCGCCGCCCAGGAAAAACCATAGCTTAAAATTCACAATTTTGTGTATAAAAAACTATGGAAACCTGTAAGTCCGCAGCAATTGCGAGGTAAACAAAATGAATGGCGGACTCATTCTTACAAACCTATGTATAATTATGTAAATTTTAAAAAGAAAAAAAATTCAAAATGCTAAAATTAGACTTGCTCGGGCAGAGCGTGCGCTAGAAACTGAACTCTAACACTACAAGAAAACTATTCAAACACGTCATTTCCAAAATCTAATTTCATTGGCTGTTACCCAGTATACAAATGCTACTAATACATAAACGAGACTTCCGTTTCGGTACACACAATTTGTTTACATGTCGTTAGGACAACTATTATTCGCTGTCACACTTTAACGTGCACACGCACTATTACTATTATAACTAGTCACAATTCATCATTCACTGCAACAATTTAACATTTAATATTACAATAGTCATTTACGTCTACTTTCACTGCATAGCTAATCACATACATAATAAATGCTGATATACATTTAATAACACAATAAGTTCTAAGTCTAGTAAACAATCTTTACAATTATAGCTTATGTGAATCTGTACTACTGCAGACTATAATCACAATTTACATTTCCTGACACTCTATATTTTAATGTCACTTCAGTATTAAATGCATATACCCTCAGTTATACACAAACAATTCCTAGTCACTGTCAACCATACTAATATAACAATAGATAACTGAATTAGTACAAGTTACTCTAACTCAAAATTTACAAAATATAGTCACCTCAATAATACATACTGCATATGTATTAAATTAGACAATAAGTTCATAATCACTTTCTGCCCTTAATTTTAATATAATAGGTAACTGAATTTGTACATTCGAGAAAAAATAATAGAATATTTAACAATTACTCATTCTGTAACATTCATATACAATTTGTTTGATGTTGGGCAAGACAAAAAGAGAGGTTTTTGAAAGAAAAAGCAGCCCGTGATTTCAACCTCTCCTCCCCAGGCCAGCCTGGTAACTGTAGCACCCAGGGAACCTGAAGTTCCAAACAGTAATGCCCCAGGTTATTGACTAAAACTACTGAACAGCTAGAGTTCAGCTACTCAGTCTAATCAATTTTATAATATGATAATAATTGACGATAAAATAAAATAACATTATAGCAAAATAATGATAGATAATAAAAGACATATAAAATAACATATTTATCTCATTGGCGTAGAGAAAAAGAAGGGGGTCAGTGTGGGAGGAAGCCGGAGTACCCGGAGAAAACCCACGTGTCTGAGTGAGCGACCCCATACCCCTTTACAACTCAGACACCCATTTCAAATAAAAAATAATAATAATAAAATTATTTATTTGATAACACAATAATAATAATAACATTGAAAAAAATAAACAGTTTAAAAAATAACATTGTGAATTATATTTGTTTGTACTTCAGAGATTTGGCTTTGTGGATATATAATTTCGTCTTTCTCTCTCTTTCTCATACATGATGAAGGATATGCCTCTTCAATACTTTTATTTTATATCAATGAATGAGAAAAGGGTGACTTGAATAACTATCCTATCTTGGGCTCGGCTGGGCTCCGGTGGGCTGTGCTGGGCTCTGCTGCTTGTTGTGCATCCTGTCAATTGGAAGTCAAGAGGTCAAAGGCTGATACGGTCAACAGCAATTGGCAAGGAAAAGATCATGAAAAGCTGCAAGAAGTAGAGTGTGAATCTTACCTCCTCTTCTCTACTTGACTGCGGTTGGGATCCGTCCGGGTCAGCATGAACCTCCTCTTCGGCGGCTTACAATGCAAAACCAAGACATCAAAACAACTTCGTAGAGTTATCGAAATTTCAGCGAGTGCAAAGAGCAAAGTTAAAATCTCCTAAACACACAGTAATGAAAGTGAACAGAGTGCAAGATGTGCACACTGCGTCTTACCTGCACGTCAGGGATTGATTGCAGTCCATCACAGAACTGCGGCCCGCAGGTGACGGTCTGCTCTTCTTCCACACAAGCAGACCAGTCCAACCCAGTACCTGTTAACAAAGATGTCTACAGATTAACACCAAATGAGGAGTAGTCAAACAGGTGTGCTAAGACTAATGAAAAGAGTAGAAATGGAGAAAGTCCACAGAGTGCGAGGCGTGCACAATGTAACTTACCACCCTTGGGTTGGCAGTCTCCTCTTCACAGCGCTGGGGATAGAGGGCTGCATCACACGGCATCTGTACAGTAGAAGGACAAGACGTTAAGAGAGGTCACAGTCTTCATCAAGTGATTTGAGGAAATAAAAATCAACACAGTTAATACAGATTTAAGACATGCATCTTACCCTCTCTTAGATGTGCGGTCGCAGTCGATCCCTGCTCCCCAGAATGCTGCTGTACGTCTCAGTGGGATCGACGCTCCTGAAAACACAGAAAGTCAGGAGGTCAAAGGAGTCCTTTAGCTGCTCTGATCAAGTTTTAATGCAAAACAGGGATCATGAAGTGCTACAAAAGTTGCCTGTTACTCACCGCTTTGGCCAATGTTGGCCGCTAGACATAGCTGGGCAATGGGTCCTCTTCATCTGTTGGCTGGGCGGCTGGGTCCTTTCGCGTCGTCCCTTGTCCGAGTCCCTGGAAATATACAACTGAGAAGAGATTAGTCAAAATTCAAAACAATGAAACAAAACACAGAAATTCAACGACATTACAACAAAATCAGTTGAAAAAGACATTAGCAGATGAAGACAGTTAGATCAGGAAAGGGCATAAAGGGGGCTTAAGGGGAAGGGGGGATGGTTAGTTATGTTAGATTAGGGGAAGTGCTTAGGAGACAGAAAAGAGAACGAAGGAAATAAATTCAAAAAGCTTCTCTATTAGGCTTCCTGGTTGCGGAATAGGATCCTGGCTGCTGCAACTTCTGCTGGGCTCGGCTGGGCTCGGCTGGGCTCCGCTGGGCTGTGCTGGGCTCTGCTGCTTGTTGTGCATCCTGTCAATTGGAAGTCAAGAGGTCAAAGGCTGATACGGTCAACAGCAATTGGCAAGGAATAGATCATGAAAAGCTGCAAGAAGTAGAGTGTGAATCTTACCTCCTCTTCTCTACTTGACTGCGGTTGGGATCCGTCCGGGTCAGCATGAACCTCCTCTTCGGCGGCTTACAATGCAAAACCAAGACATCAAAACAACTTCGTAGAGTTATCGAAATTTCAGCGAGTGCAAAGAGCAAAGTTAAAATCTCCTAAACACACAGTAATGAAAGTGAACAGAGTGCAAGATGTGCACACTGCGTCTTACCTGCACGTCAGGGATTGATTGCAGTCCATCACAGAACTGCGGCCCGCAGGTGACGGTCTGCTCTTCTTCCACACAAGCAGACCAGTCCAACCCAGTACCTGTTAACAAAGATGTCTACAGGTTAACACCAAATGAGGAGTAGTCAAACAGGTGTGCTAAGACTAATGAAGAGAGTGGAAATGGAGAAAGTCCACAGAGTGCGAGGCGTGCACAATGTAACTTACCATCCTTGGGTTGGCAGTCTCCTCTTCACAGCGCTGGGGATAGAGGGCTGCATCACACGGCATCTGTACAGTAGAAGGACAAGACGTTAAGAGAGGTCACAGTCTTCATCAAGTGATTTGAGGAGATAAAAATCAACACAGTTAATACAGATTTAAGACAGGCATCTTACCCTCTCTTAGATGTGCGGTCGCAGTCGATCCCTGCTCCCCAGAATGCTGCTGTACGTCTCAGTGGGATCGACGCTCCTGAAAACACAGAAAGTCAGGAGGTCAAAGGAGTCCTTTAGCTGCTCTGATCAAGTTTTAATGCAAAGCAGGGATCATGAAGTGCTACAAAAGTTGCCTGTTACTCACCGCTTTGGCCAATGTTGGCCGCTAGACATAGCTGGGCAATGGGTCCTCTTCATCTGTTGGCTGGGCGGCTGGGTCCTTTCGCGTCGTCCCTTGTCTGAGTCCCTGGAAATATACAACTGAGAAGAGATGAGTCAAAATTCAAAACAATGAAACAAAACACAGAAATTCAACGACATTACAACAAAATCAGTTGAAAAAGACATTAGCAGATGAAGACAGTTAGATCAGGAAAGGGCATAAAGGGGGCTTAAGGGGAAGGGGGGATGGTTAGTTATGTTAGATTAGGGGAAGTGCTTAGGAGACAGAAAAGAGACAGAAGGAAATAAATTCAAAAAGCTTCTCTATTAGGCTTCCTGGTTGCGGAATAGGATCCTGGCTGCTGCAACTTCTGCTGGGCTCGGCTGGGCTCCGCTGGGCTGTGCTGGGCTCTGCTGCTTGTTGTGCATCCTGTCAATTGGAAGTCAAGAGGTCAAAGGCTGATACGGTCAACAGCAACTGGCAAGGAAAAGATCATGAAAAGCTGCAAGAAGTAGAGTGTGAATCTTACCTCCTCTTCTCTACTTGACTGCGGTTGGGATCCGTCCGGGTCAGCATGAACCTCCTCTTCGGCGGCTTACAATGCAAAACCAAGACATCAAAACAACTTCGTAGAGTTATCGAAATTTCAGCGAGTGCAAAGAGCAAAGTTAAAATCTCCTAAACACACAGTAATGAAAGTGAACAGAGTGCAAGATGTGCACACTGCGTCTTACCTGCACGTCAGGGATTGATTGCAGTCCATCACAGAACTGCGGCCCGCAGGTGACGGTCTGCTCTTCTTCCACACAAGCAGACCAGTCCAACCCAGTACCTGTTAACAAAGATGTCTACAGGTTAACACCAAATGAGGAATAGTCAAACAGGTGTGCTAAGACTAATGAAGAGAGTGGAAATGGAGAAAGTCCACAGAGTGCGAGGCGTGCACAATGTAACTTACCATCCTTGGGTTGGCAGTCTCCTCTTCACAGCGCTGGGGATAGAGGGCTGCATCACACGGCATCTGTACAGTAGAAGGACAAGACGTTAAGAGAGGTCACAGTCTTCATCAAGTGATTTGAGGAAATAAAAATCAACACAGTTAATACAGATTTAAGACATGCATCTTACCCTCTCTTAGATGTGCGGTCGCAGTCGATCCCTGCTCCCCAGAATGCTGCTGTACGTCTCAGTGGGATCGACGCTCCTGAAAACACAGAAAGTCAGGAGGTCAAAGGAGTCCTTTAGCTGCTCTGATCAAGTTTTAATGCAAAACAGGGATCATGAAGTGCTACAAAAGTTGCCTGTTACTCACCGCTTTGGCCAATGTTGGCCGCTAGACATAGCTGGGCAATGGGTCCTCTTCATCTGTTGGCTGGGCGGCTGGGTCCTTTCGCGTCGTCCCTTGTCCGAGTCCCTGGAAATATACAACTGAGAAGAGATGAGTCAAAATTCAAAACAATGAAACAAAACACAGAAATTCAACGACATTACAACAAAATCAGTTGAAAAAGACATTAGCAGATGAAGACAGTTAGATCAGGAAAGGGCATAAAGGGGGCTTAAGGGGAAGGGGGGATGGTTAGTTATGTTAGATTAGGGGAAGTGCTTAGGAGACAGAAAAGAGACAGAAGGAAATAAATTCAAAAAGCTTCTCTATTAGGCTTCCTGGTTGCGGAATAGGATCCTGGCTGCTGCAACTTCTGCTGGGCTCGGCTGGGCTCGGCTGGGCTGTGCTGGGCTCTGCTGCTTGTTGTGCATCCTGTCAATTGGAAGTCAAGAGGTCAAAGGCTGATACGGTCAACAGCAATTGGCAAGGAAAAGATCATGAAAAGCTGCAAGAAGTAGAGTGTGAATCTTACCTCCTCTTCTCTACTTGACTGCGGTTGGGATCCGTCCGGGACAGCATGAACCTCCTCTTCGGCGGCTTACAATGCAAAACCAAGACATCAAAACAACTTCGTAGAGTTATCGAAATTTCAGCGAGTGCAAAGAGCAAAGTTAAAATCTCCTAAACACACAGTAATGAAAGTGAACAGAGTGCAAGATGTGCACACTGCGTCTTACCTGCACGTCAGGGATTGATTGCAGTCCATCACAGAACTGCGGCCCGCAGGTGACGGTCTGCTCTTCTTCCACACAAGCAGACCAGTCCAACCCAGTACCTGTTAACAAAGATGTCTACAGGTTAACACCAAATGAGGAATAGTCAAACAGGTGTGCTAAGACTAATGAAGAGAGTAGAAATGGAGAAAGTCCACAGAGTGCGAGGCGTGCACAATGTAACTTACCATCCTTGGGTTGGCAGTCTCCTCTTCACAGCGCTGGGGATAGAGGGCTGCATCACACGGCATCTCTACAGTAGAAAGGCAAGACGTTAAGAGAGGTCACAGTCTTCATCAAGTGATTTGAGGAAATAAAAATCAACACAGTTAATACAGATTTAAGACATGCATCTTACCCTCTCTTAGATGTGCGGTCGCAGTCGATCCCTGCTCCCCAGCATGCTGCTGTACGTCTCAGTGGGATCGACGCTCCTGAAAACACAGAAAGTCAGGAGGTCAAAGGAGTCCTTTAGCTGCTCTGATCAAGTTTTAATGCAAAACAGGGATCATGAAGTGCTACAAAAGTTGCCTGTTACTCACCGCTTTGGCCAATGTTGGCCGCTAGACATAGCTGGGCAATGGGTCCTCTTCATCTGTTGGCTGGGCGGCTGGGTCCTTTCGCGTCGTCCCTTGTCCGAGTCCCTGGAAATATACAACTGAGAAGAGATTAGTCAAAATTCAAAACAATGAAACAAAACACAGAAATTCAACGACATTACAACAAAATCAGTTGAAAAAGACATTAGCAGATGAAGACAGTTAGATCAGGAAAGGGCATAAAGGGGGCTTAAGGGGAAGGGGGGATGGTTAGTTATGTTAGATTAGGGGAAGTGCTTAGGAGACAGAAAAGAGACAGAAGGAAATAAATTCAAAAAGCTTCTCTATTAGGCTTCCTGGTTGCGGAATAGGATCCTGGCTGCTGCAACTTCTGCTGGGCTCGGCTGGGCTGTGCTGGGCTCTGCTGCTTGTTGTGCATCCTGTCAATTGGAAGTCAAGAGGTCAAAGGCTGATACGGTCAACAGCAACTGGCAAGGAAAAGATCATGAAAAGCTGCAAGAAGTAGAGTGTGAATCTTACCTCCTCTTCTCTACTTGACTGCGGTTGGGATCCGTCCGGGTCAGCATGAACCTCCTCTTCGGCGGCTTACAATGCAAAACCAAGACATCAAAACAACTTCGTAGAGTTATCGAAATTTCAGCGAGTGCAAAGAGCAAAGTTAAAATCTCCTAAACACACAGTAATGAAAGTGAACAGAGTGCAAGATGTGCACACTGCGTCTTACCTGCACGTCAGGGATTGATTGCAGTCCATCACAGAACTGCGGCCCGCAGGTGACGGTCTGCTCTTCTTCCACACAAGCAGACCAGTCCAACCCAGTACCTGTTAACAAAGATGTCTACAGGTTAACACCAAATGAGGAATAGTCAAACAGGTGTGCTAAGACTAATGAAGAGAGTGGAAATGGAGAAAGTCCACAGAGTGCGAGGCGTGCACAATGTAACTTACCATCCTTGGGTTGGCAGTCTCCTCTTCACAGCGCTTGGGATAGAGGGCTGCATCACACGGCATCTCTACAGTAGAAGGACAAGAAGCTAAGAGAGGTCACAGTCTTCATCAAGTGATTTGAGGAAATAAAAATCAACACAGTTAATACAGATTTAAGACATGCATCTTACCCTCTCTTAGATGTGCGGTCGCAGTCGATCCCTGCTCCCCAGAATGCTGCTGTACGTCTCAGTGGGATCGACGCTCCTGAAAACACAGAAAGTCAGGAGGTCAAAGGAGTCCTTTAGCTGCTCTGATCAAGTTTTAATGCAAAACAGGGATCATGAAGTGCTACAAAAGTTGCCTGTTACTCACCGCTTTGGCCAATGTTGGCCGCTAGACATAGCTGGGCAATGGGTCCTCTTCATCTGTTGGCTGGGCGGCTGGGTCCTTTCGCGTCGTCCCTTGTCCGAGTCCCTGGAAATATACAACTGAGAAGAGATTAGTCAAAATTCAAAACAATGAAACAAAACACAGAAATTCAACGACATTACAACAAAATCAGTTGAAAAAGACATTAGCAGATGAAGACAGTTAGATCAGGAAAGGGCATAAAGGGGGCTTAAGGGGAAGGGGGGATGGTTAGTTATGTTAGATTAGGGGAAGTGCTTAGGAGACAGAAAAGAGAACGAAGGAAATAAATTCAAAAAGCTTCTCTATTAGGCTTCCTGGTTGCGGAATAGGATCCTGGCTGCTGCAACTTCTGCTGGGCTCGGCTGGGCTCGGCTGGGCTCGGCTGGGCTCCGCTGGGCTGTGCTGGGCTCTGCTGCTTGTTGTGCATCCTGTCAATTGGAAGTCAAGAGGTCAAAGGCTGATACGGTCAACAGCAATTGGCAAGGAAAAGATCATGAAAAGCTGCAAGAAGTAGAGTGTGAATCTTACCTCCTCTTCTCTACTTGACTGCGGTTGGGATCCGTCCGGGTCAGCATGAACCTCCTCTTCGGCGGCTTACAATGCAAAACCAAGACATCAAAACAACTTCGTAGAGTTATCGAAATTTCAGCGAGTGCAAAGAGCAAAGTTAAAATCTCCTAAACACACAGTAATGAAAGTGAACAGAGTGCAAGATGTGCACACTGCGTCTTACCTGCACGTCAGGGATTGATTGCAGTCCATCACAGAACTGCGGCCCGCAGGTGACGGTCTGCTCTTCTTCCACACAAGCAGACCAGTCCAACCCAGTACCTGTTAACAAAGATGTCTACAGGTTAACACCAAATGAGGAATAGTCAAACAGGTGTGCTAAGACTAATGAAGAGAGTGGAAATGGAGAAAGTCCACAGAGTGCGAGGCGTGCACAATGTAACTTACCACCCTTGGGTTGGCAGTCTCCTCTTCACAGCGCTGGGGATAGAGGGCTGCATCACACGGCATCTGTACAGTAGAAGGACAAGACGTTAAGAGAGGTCACAGTCTTCATCAAGTGATTTGAGGAAATAAAAATCAACACAGTTAATACAGATTTAAGACATGCATCTTACCCTCTCTTAGATGTGCGGTCGCAGTCGATCCCTGCTCCCCAGAATGCTGCTGTACGTCTCAGTGGGATCGACGCTCCTGAAAACACAGAAAGTCAGGAGGTCAAAGGAGTCCTTTAGCTGCTCTGATCAAGTTTTAATGCAAAACAGGGATCATGAAGTGCTACAAAAGTTGCCTGTTACTCACCGCTTTGGCCAATGTTGGCCGCTAGACATAGCTGGGCAATGGGTCCTCTTCATCTGTTGGCTGGGCGGCTGGGTCCTTTCGCGTCGTCCCTTGTCCGAGTCCCTGGAAATATACAACTGAGAAGAGATTAGTCAAAATTCAAAACAATGAAACAAAACACAGAAATTCAACGACATTACAACAAAATCAGTTGAAAAAGACATTAGCAGATGAAGACAGTTAGATCAGGAAAGGGCATAAAGGGGGCTTAAGGGGAAGGGGGGATGGTTAGTTATGTTAGATTAGGGGAAGTGCTTAGGAGACAGAAAAGAGACAGAAGGAAATAAATTCAAAAAGCTTCTCTATTAGGCTTCCTGGTTGCGGAATAGGATCCTGGCTGCTGCAACTTCTGCTGGGCTCGGCTGGGCTCGGCTGGGCTGTGCTGGGCTCTGCTGCTTGTTGTGCATCCTGTCAATTGGAAGTCAAGAGGTCAAAGGCTGATACGGTCAACAGCAATTGGCAAGGAAAAGATCATGAAAAGCTGCAAGAAGTAGAGTGTGAATCTTACCTCCTCTTCTCTACTTGACTGCGGTTGGGATCCGTCCGGGACAGCATGAACCTCCTCTTCGGCGGCTTACAATGCAAAACCAAGACATCAAAACAACTTCGTAGAGTTATCGAAATTTCAGCGAGTGCAAAGAGCAAAGTTAAAATCTCCTAAACACACAGTAATGAAAGTGAACAGAGTGCAAGATGTGCACACTGCGTCTTACCTGCACGTCAGGGATTGATTGCAGTCCATCACAGAACTGCGGCCCGCAGGTGACGGTCTGCTCTTCTTCCACACAAGCAGACCAGTCCAACCCAGTACCTGTTAACAAAGATGTCTACAGGTTAACACCAAATGAGGAATAGTCAAACAGGTGTGCTAAGACTAATGAAGAGAGTGGAAATGGAGAAAGTCCACAGAGTGCGAGGCGTGCACAATGTAACTTACCATCCTTGGGTTGGCAGTCTCCTCTTCACAGCGCTGGGAATAGAGGGCTGCATCACACGGCATCTGTACAGTAGAAGGACAAGACGTTAAGAGAGGTCACAGTCTTCATCAAGTGATTTGAGGAAATAAAAATCAACACAGTTAATACAGATTTAAGACATGCATCTTACCCTCTCTTAGATGTGCGGTCGCAGTCGATCCCTGCTCCCCAGAATGCTGCTGTACGTCTCAGTGGGATCGACGCTCCTGAAAACACAGAAAGTCAGGAGGTCAAAGGAGTCCTTTAGCTGCTCTGATCAAGTTTTAATGCAAAGCAGGGATCATGAAGTGCTACAAAAGTTGCCTGTTACTCACCGCTTTGGCCAATGTTGGCCGCTAGACATAGCTGGGCAATGGGTCCTCTTCATCTGTTGGCTGGGCGGCTGGGTCCTTTCGCGTCGTCCCTTGTCTGAGTCCCTGGAAATATACAACTGAGAAGAGATTAGTCAAAATTCAAAACAATGAAACAAAACACAGAAATTCAACGACATTACAACAAAATCAGTTGAAAAAGACATTAGCAGATGAAGACAGTTAGATCAGGAAAGGGCATAAAGGGGGCTTAAGGGGAAGGGGGGATGGTTAGTTATGTTAGATTAGGGGAAGTGCTTAGGAGACAGAAAAGAGACAGAAGGAAATAAATTCAAAAAGCTTCTCTATTAGGCTTCCTGGTTGCGGAATAGGATCCTGGCTGCTGCAACTTCTGCTGGGCTCGGCTGGGCTCCGCTGGGCTGTGCTGGGCTCTGCTGCTTGTTGTGCATCCTGTCAATTGGAAGTCAAGAGGTCAAAGGCTGATACGGTCAACAGCAATTGGCAAGGAATAGATCATGAAAAGCTGCAAGAAGTAGAGTGTGAATCTTACCTCCTCTTCTCTACTTGACTGCGGTTGGGATCCGTCCGGGTCAGCATGAACCTCCTCTTCGGCGGCTTACAATGCAAAACCAAGACATCAAAACAACTTCGTAGAGTTATCGAAATTTCAGCGAGTGCAAAGAGCAAAGTTAAAATCTCCTAAACACACAGTAATGAAAGTGAACAGAGTGCAAGATGTGCACACTGCGTCTTACCTGCACGTCAGGGATTGATTGCAGTCCATCACAGAACTGCGGCCCGCAGGTGACGGTCTGCTCTTCTTCCACACAAGCAGACCAGTCCAACCCAGTACCTGTTAACAAAGATGTCTACAGGTTAACACCAAATGAGGAATAGTCAAACAGGTGTGCTAAGACTAATGAAGAGAGTGGAAATGGAGAAAGTCCACAGAGTGCGAGGCGTGCACAATGTAACTTACCATCCTTGGGTTGGCAGTCTCCTCTTCACAGCGCTGGGGATAGAGGGCTGCATCACACGGCATCTGTACAGTAGAAGGACAAGACGTTAAGAGAGGTCACAGTCTTCATCAAGTGATTTGAGGAGATAAAAATCAACACAGTTAATACAGATTTAAGACATGCATCTTACCCTCTCTTAGATGTGCGGTCGCAGTCGATCCCTGCTCCCCAGAATGCTGCTGTACGTCTCAGTGGGATCGACGCTCCTGAAAACACAGAAAGTCAGGAGGTCAAAGGAGTCCTTTAGCTGCTCTGATCAAGTTTTAATGCAAAACAGGGATCATGAAGTGCTACAAAAGTTGCCTGTTACTCACCGCTTTGGCCAATGTTGGCCGCTAGACATAGCTGGGCAATGGGTCCTCTTCATCTGTTGGCTGGGCGGCTGGGTCCTTTTGCGTCGTCCCTTGTCCGAGTCCCTGGAAATATAAAACTGAGAAGAGATGAGTCAAAATTCAAAACAATGAAACAAAACACAGAAATTCAACGACATTACAACAAAATCAGTTGAAAAAGACATTAGCAGATGAAGACAGTTAGATCAGGAAAGGGCATAAAGGGGGCTTAAGGGGAAGGGGGGATGGTTAGTTATGTTAGATTAGGGGAAGTGCTTAGGAGACAGAAAAGAGACAGAAGGAAATAAATTCAAAAAGCTTCTCTATTAGGCTTCCTGGTTGCGGAATAGGATCCTGGCTGCTGCAACTTCTGCTGGGCTCGGCTGGGCTCCGCTGGGCTGTGCTGGGCTCTGCTGCTTGTTGTGCATCCTGTCAATTGGAAGTCAAGAGGTCAAAGGCTGATACGGTCAACAGCAATTGGCAAGGAATAGATCATGAAAAGCTGCAAGAAGTAGAGTGTGAATCTTACCTCCTCTTCTAGCTACTTGACTGCGGTTGGGATCCGTCCGGGTCAGCATGCACCTCCTCTTCGGCTAACAATGCAAAACCAAGACATCAAAACAACTTCGTAGAGTTATCGAAATTTCAGCGAGTGCAAAGAGCAAAGTTAAAATCTCCTAAACACACAGTAATGAAAGTGAACAGAGTGCAAGATGTGCACACTGCGTCTTACCTGCACGTCAGGGATTGATTGCAGTCCATCACAGAACTGCGGCCCGCAGGTGACGGTCTGCTCTTCTTCCACACAAGCAGACCAGTCCAACCCAGTACCTGTTAACAAAGATGTCTACAGGTTAACACCAAATGAGGAATAGTCAAACAGGTGTGCTAAGACTAATGAAGAGAGTGGAAATGGAGAAAGTCCACAGAGTGCGAGGCGTGCACAATGTAACTTACCACCCTTGGGTTGGCAGTCTCCTCTTCACAGCGCTGGGGATAGAGGGCTGCATCACACGGCATCTGTACAGTAGAAGGACAAGACGTTAAGAGAGGTCACAGTCTTCATCAAGTGATTTGAGGAAATAAAAATCAACACAGTTAATACAGATTTAAGACATGCATCTTACCCTCTCTTAGATGTGCGGTCGCAGTCGATCCCTGCTCCCCAGAATGCTGCTGTACGTCTCAGTGGGATCGACGCTCCTGAAAACACAGAAAGTCAGGAGGTCAAAGGAGTCCTTTAGCTGCTCTGATCAAGTTTTAATGCAAAACAGGGATCATGAAGTGCTACAAAAGTTGCCTGTTACTCACCGCTTTGGCCAATGTTGGCCGCTAGACATAGCTGGGCAATGGGTCCTCTTCATCTGTTGGCTGGGCGGCTGGGTCCTTTCGCGTCGTCCCTTGTCCGAGTCCCTGGAAATATACAACTGAGAAGAGATTAGTCAAAATTCAAAACAATGAAACAAAACACAGAAATTCAACGACATTACAACAAAATCAGTTGAAAAAGACATTAGCAGATGAAGACAGTTAGATCAGGAAAGGGCATAAAGGGGGCTTAAGGGGAAGGGGGGATGGTTAGTTATGTTAGATTAGGGGAAGTGCTTAGGAGACAGAAAAGAGACAGAAGGAAATAAATTCAAAAAGCTTCTCTATTAGGCTTCCTGGTTGCGGAATAGGATCCTGGCTGCTGCAACTTCTGCTGGGCTCGGCTGGGCTCGGCTGGGCTGTGCTGGGCTCTGCTGCTTGTTGTGCATCCTGTCAATTGGAAGTCAAGAGGTCAAAGACTGATACGGTCAACAGCAATTGGCAAGGAAAAGATCATGAAAAGCTGCAAGAAGTAGAGTGTGAATCTTACCTCCTCTTCTCTACTTGACTGCGGTTGGGATCCGTCCGGGACAGCATGAACCTCCTCTTCGGCGGCTTACAATGCAAAACCAAGACATCAAAACAACTTCGTAGAGTTATCGAAATTTCAGCGAGTGCAAAGAGCAAAGTTAAAATCTCCTAAACACACAGTAATGAAAGTGAACAGAGTGCAAGATGTGCACACTGCGTCTTACCTGCACGTCAGGGATTGATTGCAGTCCATCACAGAACTGCGGCCCGCAGGTGACGGTCTGCTCTTCTTCCACACAAGCAGACCAGTCCAACCCAGTACCTGTTAACAAAGATGTCTACAGGTTAACACCAAATGAGGAATAGTCAAACAGGTGTGCTAAGACTAATGAAGAGAGTGGAAATGGAGAAAGTCCACAGAGTGCGAGGCGTGCACAATGTAACTTACCATCCTTGGGTTGGCAGTCTCCTCTTCACAGCGCTGGGGATAGAGGGCTGCATCACACGGCATCTCTACAGTAGAAAGGCAAGACGTTAAGAGAGGTCACAGTCTTCATCAAGTGATTTGAGGAAATAAAAATCAACACAGTTAATACAGATTTAAGACATGCATCTTACCCTCTCTTAGATGTGCGGTCGCAGTCGATCCCTGCTCCCCAGAATGCTGCTGTACGTCTCAGTGGGATCGACGCTCCTGAAAACACAGAAAGTCAGGAGGTCAAAGGAGTCCTTTAGCTGCTCTGATCAAGTTTTAATGCAAAACAGGGATCATGAAGTGCTACAAAAGTTGCCTGTTACTCACCGCTTTGGCCAATGTTGGCCGCTAGACATAGCTGGGCAATGGGTCCTCTTCATCTGTTGGCTGGGCGGCTGGGTCCTTTCGCGTCGTCCCTTGTCCGAGTCCCTGGAAATATACAACTGAGAAGAGATGAGTCAAAATTCAAAACAATGAAACAAAACACAGAAATTCAACGACATTACAACAAAATCAGTTGAAAAAGACATTAGCAGATGAAGACAGTTAGATCAGGAAAGGGCATAAAGGGGGCTTAAGGGGAAGGGGGGATGGTTAGTTATGTTAGATTAGGGGAAGTGCTTAGGAGACAGAAAAGAGACAGAAGGAAATAAATTCAAAAAGCTTCTCTATTAGGCTTCCTGGTTGCGGAATAGGATCCTGGCTGCTGCAACTTCTGCTGGGCTCGGCTGGGCTCCGCTGGGCTGTGCTGGGCTCTGCTGCTTGTTGTGCATCCTGTCAATTGGAAGTCAAGAGGTCAAAGGCTGATACGGTCAACAGCAATTGGCAAGGAATAGATCATGAAAAGCTGCAAGAAGTAGAGTGTGAATCTTACCTCCTCTTCTAGCTACTTGACTGCGGTTGGGATCCGTCCGGGTCAGCATGCACCTCCTCTTCGGCTAACAATGCAAAACCAAGACATCAAAACAACTTCGTAGAGTTATCGAAATTTCAGCGAGTGCAAAGAGCAAAGTTAAAATCTCCTAAACACACAGTAATGAAAGTGAACAGAGTGCAAGATGTGCACACTGCGTCTTACCTGCACGTCAGGGATTGATTGCAGTCCATCACAGAACTGCGGCCCGCAGGTGACGGTCTGCTCTTCTTCCACACAAGCAGACCAGTCCAACCCAGTACCTGTTAACAAAGATGTCTACAGGTTAACACCAAATGAGGAATAGTCAAACAGGTGTGCTAAGACTAATGAAGAGAGTGGAAATGGAGAAAGTCCACAGAGTGCGAGGCGTGCACAATGTAACTTACCATCCTTGGGTTGGCAGTCTCCTCTTCACAGCGCTGGGGATAGAGGGCTGCATCACACGGCATCTGTACAGTAGAAGGACAAGACGTTAAGAGAGGTCACAGTCTTCATCAAGTGATTTGAGGAAATAAAAATCAACACAGTTAATACAGATTTAAGACATGCATCTTACCCTCTCTTAGATGTGCGGTCGCAGTCGATCCCTGCTCCCCAGAATGCTGCTGTACGTCTCAGTGGGATCGACGCTCCTGAAAACACAGAAAGTCAGGAGGTCAAAGGAGTCCTTTAGCTGCTCTGATCAAGTTTTAATGCAAAACAGGGATCATGAAGTGCTACAAAAGTTGCCTGTTACTCACCGCTTTGGCCAATGTTGGCCGCTAGACATAGCTGGGCAATGGGTCCTCTTCATCTGTTGGCTGGGCGGCTGGGTCCTTTCGCGTCGTCCCTTGTCCGAGTCCCTGGAAATATAAAACTGAGAAGAGATGAGTCAAAATTCAAAACAATGAAACAAAACACAGAAATTCAACGACATTACAACAAAATCAGTTGAAAAAGACATTAGCAGATGAAGACAGTTAGATCAGGAAAGGGCATAAAGGGGGCTTAAGGGGAAGGGGGGATGGTTAGTTATGTTAGATTAGGGGAAGTGCTTAGGAGACAGAAAAGAGACAGAAGGAAATAAATTCAAAAAGCTTCTCTATTAGGCTTCCTGGTTGCGGAATAGGATCCTGGCTGCTGCAACTTCTGCTGGGCTCGGCTGGGCTCCGCTGGGCTGTGCTGGGCTCTGCTGCTTGTTGTGCATCCTGTCAATTGGAAGTCAAGAGGTCAAAGGCTGATACGGTCAACAGCAATTGGCAAGGAATAGATCATGAAAAGCTGCAAGAAGTAGAGTGTGAATCTTACCTCCTCTTCTAGCTACTTGACTGCGGTTGGGATCCGTCCGGGTCAGCATGCACCTCCTCTTCGGCTAACAATGCAAAACCAAGACATCAAAACAACTTCGTAGAGTTATCGAAATTTCAGCGAGTGCAAAGAGCAAAGTTAAAATCTCCTAAACACACAGTAATGAAAGTGAACAGAGTGCAAGATGTGCACACTGCGTCTTACCTGCACGTCAGGGATTGATTGCAGTCCATCACAGAACTGCGGCCCGCAGGTGACGGTCTGCTCTTCTTCCACACAAGCAGACCAGTCCAACCCAGTACCTGTTAACAAAGATGTCTACAGGTTAACACCAAATGAGGAATAGTCAAACAGGTGTGCTAAGACTAATGAAGAGAGTGGAAATGGAGAAAGTCCACAGAGTGCGAGGCGTGCACAATGTAACTTACCATCCTTGGGTTGGCAGTCTCCTCTTCACAGCGCTGGGGATAGAGGGCTGCATCACACGGCATCTGTACAGTAGAAGGACAAGACGTTAAGAGAGGTCACAGTCTTCATCAAGTGATTTGAGGAAATAAAAATCAACACAGTTAATACAGATTTAAGACATGCATCTTACCCTCTCTTAGATGTGCGGTCGCAGTCGATCCCTGCTCCCCAGAATGCTGCTGTACGTCTCAGTGGGATCGACGCTCCTGAAAACACAGAAAGTCAGGAGGTCAAAGGAGTCCTTTAGCTGCTCTGATCAAGTTTTAATGCAAAACAGGGATCATGAAGTGCTACAAAAGTTGCCTGTTACTCACCGCTTTGGCCAATGTTGGCCGCTAGACATAGCTGGGCAATGGGTCCTCTTCATCTGTTGGCTGGGCGGCTGGGTCCTTTCGCGTCGTCCCTTGTCCGAGTCCCTGGAAATATACAACTGAGAAGAGATTAGTCAAAATTCAAAACAATGAAACAAAACACAGAAATTCAACGACATTACAACAAAATCAGTTGAAAAAGACATTAGCAGATGAAGACAGTTAGATCAGGAAAGGGCATAAAGGGGGCATAAGGGGAAGGGGGGATGGTTAGTTATGTTAGATTAGGGGAAGTGCTTAGGAGACAGAAAAGAGACAGAAGGAAATAAATTCAAAAAGCTTCTCTATTAGGCTTCCTGGTTGCGGAATAGGATCCTGGCTGCTGCAACTTCTGCTGGGCTCGGCTGGGCTCCGCTGGGCTGTGCTGGGCTCTGCTGCTTGTTGTGCATCCTGTCAATTGGAAGTCAAGAGGTCAAAGGCTGATACGGTCAACAGCAATTGGCAAGGAATAGATCATGAAAAGCTGCAAGAAGTAGAGTGTGAATCTTACCTCCTCTTCTAGCTACTTGACTGCGGTTGGGATCCGTCCGGGTCAGCATGCACCTCCTCTTCGGCGGCTTACAATGCAAAACCAAGACATCAAAACAACTTCGTAGAGTTATCGAAATTTCAGCGAGTGCAAAGAGCAAAGTTAAAATCTCCTAAACACACAGTAATGAAAGTGAACAGAGTGCAAGATGTGCACACTGCGTCTTACCTGCACGTCAGGGATTGATTGCAGTCCATCACAGAACTGCGGCCCGCAGGTGACGGTCTGCTCTTCTTCCACACAAGCAGACCAGTCCAACCCAGTACCTGTTAACAAAGATGTCTACAGGTTAACACCAAATGAGGAATAGTCAAACAGGTGTGCTAAGACTAATGAAGAGAGTGGAAATGGAGAAAGTCCACAGAGTGCGAGGCGTGCACAATGTAACTTACCATCCTTGGGTTGGCAGTCTCCTCTTCACAGCGCTGGGGATAGAGGGCTGCATCACACGGCATCTGTACAGTAGAAGGACAAGACGTTAAGAGAGGTCACAGTCTTCATCAAGTGATTTGAGGAAATAAAAATCAACACAGTTAATACAGATTTAAGACATGCATCTTACCCTCTCTTAGATGTGCGGTCGCAGTCGATCCCTGCTCCCCAGAATGCTGCTGTACGTCTCAGTGGGATCGACGCTCCTGAAAACACAGAAAGTCAGGAGGTCAAAGGAGTCCTTTAGCTGCTCTGATCAAGTTTTAATGCAAAACAGGGATCATGAAGTGCTACAAAAGTTGCCTGTTACTCACCGCTTTGGCCAATGTTGGCCGCTAGACATAGCTGGGCAATGGGTCCTCTTCATCTGTTGGCTGGGCGGCTGGGTCCTTTCGCGTCGTCCCTTGTCCGAGTCCCTGGAAATATACAACTGAGAAGAGATTAGTCAAAATTCAAAACAATGAAACAAAACACAGAAATTCAACGACATTACAACAAAATCAGTTGAAAAAGACATTAGCAGATGAAGACAGTTAGATCAGGAAAGGGCATAAAGGGGGCATAAGGGGAAGGGGGGATGGTTAGTTATGTTAGATTAGAGGAAGTGCTTAGGAGACAGAAAAGAGACAGAAGGAAATAAATTCAAAAAGCTTCTCTATTAGGCTTCCTGGTTGCGGAATAGGATCCTGGCTGCTGCAACTTCTGCTGGGCTCGGCTGGGCTCCGCTGGGCTGTGTTGGGCTCTGCTGCTTGTTGTGCATCCTGTCAATTGGAAGTCAAGAGGTCAAAGGCTGATACGGTCAACAGCAATTGGCAAGGAAAAGATCATGAAAAGCTGCAAGAAGTAGAGTGTGAATCTTACCTCCTCTTCTAGCTACTTGACTGCGGTTGGGATCCGTCCGGGTCAGCATGAACCTCCTCTTCGGCGGCTTACAATGCAAAACCAAGACATCAAAACAACTTCGTAGAGTTATCGAAATTTCAGCGAGTGCAAAGAGCAAAGTTAAAATCTCCTAAACACACAGTAATGAAAGTGAACAGAGTGCAAGATGTGCACACTGCGTCTTACCTGCACATCAGGGATTGATTGCAGTCCATCACAGAACTGCGGCCCGCAAGTGACGGTCTGCTCTTCTTCCACACAAGCAGACCAGTCCAACCCAGTACCTGTTAACAAAGATGTCTACAGGTTAACACCAAATGAGGAATAGTCAAACAGGTGTGCTAAGACTAATGAAGAGAGTGGAAATGGAGAAAGTCCACAGAGTGCGAGGCGTGCACAATGTAACTTACCATCCTTGGGTTGGCAGTCTCCTCTTCACAGCGCTGGGGATAGAGGGCTGCATCACACGGCATCTGTACAGTAGAAGGACAAGACGTTAAGAGAGGTCACAGTCTTCATCAAGTGATTTGAGGAAATAAAAATCAACACAGTTAATACAGATTTAAGACATGCATCTTACCCTCTCTTAGATGTGCGGTCGCAGTCGATCCCTGCTCCCCAGAATGCTGCTGTACGTCTCAGTGGGATCGACGCTCCTGAAAACACAGAAAGTCAGGAGGTCAAAGGAGTCCTTTAGCTGCTCTGATCAAGTTTTAATGCAAAACAGGGATCATGAAGTGCTACAAAAGTTGCCTGTTACTCACCGCTTTGGCCAATGTTGGCCGCTAGACATAGCTGGGCAATGGGTCCTCTTCATCTGTTGGCTGGGCGGCTGGGTCCTTTCGCGTCGTCCCTTGTCTGAGTCCCTGGAAATATACAACTGAGAAGAGATTAGTCAAAATTCGAAACAATGAAACAAAACACAGAAATTCAACGACATTACAACAAAATCAGTTGAAAAAGACATTAGCAGATGAAGACAGTTAGATCAGGAAAGGGCATAAAGGGGGCTTAAGGGGAAGGGGGATGGTTAGTTATGTTAGATTAGGGGAAGTGCTTAGGAGACAGAAAAGAGACAGAAGGAAATAAATTCAAAAAGCTTCTCTATTAGGCTTCCTGGTTGCGGAATAGGATCCTGGCTGCTGCAACTTCTGCTGGGCTCGGCTGGGCTCGGCTGGGCTCCGCTGGGCTGTGTTGGGCTCTGCTGCTTGTTGTGCATCCTGTCAATTGGAAGTCAAGAGGTCAAAGGCTGATACGGTCAACAGCAATTGGCAAGGAAAAGATCATGAAAAGCTGCAAGAAGTAGAGTGTGAATCTTACCTCCTCTTCTCTACTTGACTGCGGTTGGGATCCGTCCGGGTCAGCATGAACCTCCTCTTCGGCGGCTTACAATGCAAAACCAAGACATCAAAACAACTTCGTAGAGTTATCGAAATTTCAGCGAGTGCAAAGAGCAAAGTTAAAATCTCCTAAACACACAGTAATGAAAGTGAACAGAGTGCAAGATGTGCACACTGCGTCTTACCTGCACGTCAGGGATTGATTGCAGTCCATCACAGAACTGCGGCCCGCAAGTGACGGTCTGCTCTTCTTCCACACAAGCAGACCAGTCCAACCCAGTACCTGTTAACAAAGATGTCTACAGGTTAACACCAAATGAGGAATAGTCAAACAGGTGTGCTAAGACTAATGAAGAGAGTGGAAATGGAGAAAGTCCACAGAGTGCGAGGCGTGCACAATGTAACTTACCATCCTTGGGTTGGCAGTCTCCTCTTCACAGCGCTGGGGATAGAGGGCTGCATCACACGGCATCTGTACAGTAGAAGGACAAGACGTTAAGAGAGGTCACAGTCTTCATCAAGTGATTTGAGGAAATAAAAATCAACACAGTTAATACAGATTTAAGACATGCATCTTACCCTCTCTTAGATGTGCGGTCGCAGTCGATCCCTGCTCCCCAGAATGCTGCTGTACGTCTCAGTGGGATCGACGCTCCTGAAAACACAGAAAGTCAGGAGGTCAAAGGAGTCCTTTAGCTGCTCTGATCAAGTTTTAATGCAAAACAGGGATCATGAAGTGCTACAAAAGTTGCCTGTTACTCACCGCTTTGGCCAATGTTGGCCGCTAGACATAGCTGGGCAATGGGTCCTCTTCATCTGTTGGCTGGGCGGCTGGGTCCTTTCGCGTCGTCCCTTGTCCGAGTCCCTGGAAATATACAACTGAGAAGAGATTAGTCAAAATTCAAAACAATGAAACAAAACACAGAAATTCAACGACATTACAACAAAATCAGTTGAAAAAGACATTAGCAGATGAAGACAGTTAGATCAGGAAAGGGCATAAAGGGGGCTTAAGGGGAAGGGGGGATGGTTAGTTATGTTAGATTAGGGGAAGTGCTTAGGAGACAGAAAAGAGACAGAAGGAAATAAATTCAAAAAGCTTCTCTATTAGGCTTCCTGGTTGCGGAATAGGATCCTGGCTGCTGCAACTTCTGCTTGGCTCGGCTGGGCTCCGCTGGGCTGTGTTGGGCTCTGCTGCTTGTTGTGCATTCTGTCAATTGGAAGTCAAGAGGTCAAAGGCTGATACGGTCAACAGCAATTGGCAAGGAAAAGATCATGAAAAGCTGCAAGAAGTAGAGTGTGAATCTTACCTCCTCTTCTCTACTTGACTGCGGTTGGGATCCGTCCGGGTCAGCATGAACCTCCTCTTCGGCGGCTTACAATGCAAAACCAAGACATCAAAACAACTTCGTAGAGTTATCGAAATTTCAGCGAGTGCAAAGAGCAAAGTTAAAATCTCCTAAACACACAGTAATGAAAGTGAACAGAGTGCAAGATGTGCACACTGCGTCTTACCTGCACGTCAGGGATTGATTGCAGTCCATCACAGAACTGCGGCCTGCAGGTGACGGTCTGCTCTTCTTCCACACAAGCAGACCAGTCCAACCCAGTACCTGTTAACAAAGATGTCTACAGGTTAACACCAAATGAGGAATAGTCAAACAGGTGTGCTAAGACTAATGAAGAGAGTGGAAATGGAGAAAGTCCACAGAGTGCGAGGCGTGCACAATGTAACTTACCATCCTTGGGTTGGCAGTCTCCTCTTCACAGCGCTGGGGATAGAGGGCTGCATCACACGGCATCTGTACAGTAGAAGGACAAGACGTTAAGAGAGGTCACAGTCTTCATCAAGTGATTTGAGGAAATAAAAATCAACACAGTTAATACAGATTTAAGACATGCATCTTACCCTCTCTTAGATGTGCGGTCGCAGTCGATCCCTGCTCCCCAGAATGCTGCTGTACGTCTCAGTGGGATCGACGCTCCTGAAAACACAGAAAGTCAGGAGGTCAAAGGAGTCCTTTAGCTGCTCTGATCAAGTTTTAATGCAAAACAGGGATCATGAAGTGCTTCAAAAGTTGCCTGTTACTCACCGCTTTGGCCAATGTTGGCCGCTAGACATAGCTGGGCAATGGGTCCTCTTCATCTGTTGGCTGGGCGGCTGGGTCCTTTCGCGTCGTCCCTTGTCCGAGTCCCTGGAAATATACAACTGAGAAGAGATTAGTCAAAATTCAAAACAATGAAACAAAACACAGAAATTCAACGACATTACAACAAAATCAGTTGAAAAAGACATTAGCAGATGAAGACAGTTAGATCAGGAAAGGGCATAAAGGGGGCTTAAGGGGAAGGGGGGATGGTTAGTTATGTTAGATTAGGGGAAGTGCTTAGGAGACAGAAAAGAGACAGAAGGAAATAAATTCAAAAAGCTTCTCTATTAGGCTTCCTGGTTGCGGAATAGGATCCTGGCTGCTGCAACTTCTGCTGGGCTCGGCTGGGCTCCGCTGGGCTGTGTTGGGCTCTGCTGCTTGTTGTGCATCCTGTCAATTGGAAGTCAAGAGGTCAAAGGCTGATACGGTCAACAGCAATTGGCAAGGAAAAGATCATGAAAAGCTGCAAGAAGTAGAGTGTGAATCTTACCTCCTCTTCTAGCTACTTGACTGCGGTTGGGATCCGTCCGGGTCAGCATGAACCTCCTCTTCGGCGGCTAACAATGCAAAACCAAGACATCAAAACAACTTCGTAGAGTTATCGAAATTTCAGCGAGTGCAAAGAGCAAAGTTAAAATCTCCTAAACACACAGTAATGAAAGTGAACAGAGTGCAAGATGTGCACACTGCGTCTTACCTGCACGTCAGGGATTGATTGCAGTCCGTCACAGAACTGCGGCCCGCAGGTGACGGTCTGCTCTTCTTCCACACAAGCAGACCAGTCCAACCCAGTACCTGTTAACAAAGATGTCTACAGGTTAACACCAAATGAGGAATAGTCAAACAGGTGTGCTAAGACTAATGAAGAGAGTGGAAATGGAGAAAGTCCACAGAGTGCGAGGCGTGCACAATGTAACTTACCATCCTTGGGTTGGCAGTCTCCTCTTCACAGCGCTGGGGATAGAGGGCTGCATCACACGGCATCTGTACAGTAGAAGGACAAGACGTTAAGAGAGGTCACAGTCTTCATCAAGTGATTTGAGGAAATAAAAATCAACACAGTTAATACAGATTTAAGACATGCATCTTACCCTCTCTTAGATGTGCGGTCGCAGTCGATCCCTGCTCCCCAGAATGCTGCTGTACGTCTCAGTGGGATCGACGCTCCTGAAAACACAGAAAGTCAGGAGGTCAAAGGAGTCCTTTAGCTGCTCTGATCAAGTTTTAATGCAAAACAGGGATCATGAAGTGCTACAAAAGTTGCCTGTTACTCACCGCTTTGGCCAATGTTGGCCGCTAGACATAGCTGGGCAATGGGTCCTCTTCATCTGTTGGCTGGGCGGCTGGGTCCTTTCGCGTCGTCCCTTGTCCGAGTCCCTGGAAATATACAACTGAGAAGAGATTAGTCAAAATTCAAAACAATGAAACAAAACACAGAAATTCAACGACATTACAACAAAATCAGTTGAAAAAGACATTAGCAGATGAAGACAGTTAGATCAGGAAAGGGCATAAAGGGGGCTTAAGGGGAAGGGGGGATGGTTAGTTATGTTAGATTAGGGGAAGTGCTTAGGAGACAGAAAAGAGACAGAAGGAAATAAATTCAAAAAGCTTCTCTATTAGGCTTCCTGGTTGCGGAATAGGATCCTGGCTGCTGCAACTTCTGCTGGGCTCGGCTGGGCTCCGCTGGGCTGTGTTGGGCTCTGCTGCTTGTTGTGCATCCTGTCAATTGGAAGTCAAGAGGTCAAAGGCTGATACGGTCAACAGCAATTGGCAAGGAAAAGATCATGAAAAGCTGCAAGAAGTAGAGTGTGAATCTTACCTCCTCTTCTCTACTTGACTGCGGTTGGGATCCGTCCGGGTCAGCATGAACCTCCTCTTCGGCGGCTTACAATGCAAAACCAAGACATCAAAACAACTTCGTAGAGTTATCGAAATTTCAGCGAGTGCAAAGAGCAAAGTTAAAATCTCCTAAACACACAGTAATGAAAGTGAACAGAGTGCAAGATGTGCACACTGCGTCTTACTCACAGAACTGCGGCCCGCAGGTGACGGTCTGCTCTTCTTCCACACAAGCAGACCAGTCCAACCCAGTACCTGTTAACAAAGATGTCTACAGGTTAACACCAAATGAGGAATAGTCAAACAGGTGTGCTAAGACTAATGAAGAGAGTGGAAATGGAGAAAGTCCACAGAGTGCGAGGCGTGCACAATGTAAATTACCATCCTTGGGTTGGCAGTCTCCTCTTCACAGCGCTGGGGATAGAGGGCTGCATCACACGGCATCTCTACAGTAGAAAGAGAAAACATCAACAGAGGTTAGTCTTCATCAAGTGATTTGAAGAAATAAAATCAACACAGTTAAAGGATCCTTGGAAGTATAAAACTTGAGGTACTGTTGGCGAGATCACAAAATAATACCCCACTACAATTTTTTTTAAAGTAGCCATTCAAATTTTGTAAATGTGACCTTGAACTTGGCCAGAGATCTTGGTTAAAAGATGACGTGAGAGTTTTACAGAAATATGGATATCCAATCTTTCTCCATTTATTTAAATAATTATAGACCTGTCAGTAATTTAACACTTTTTATACCAGTGACCTTGAATTTGCCACAATGAACTTGGGGCAAAGTTATTACACACACTCTGGTCTTAGACAATATTAATACCAAGTATGAGCTTCCAATGATTCTTCATTATAAAGTTATAGCCTAAACAAGAATTTTATGTATTTTCTGCCAGTGACTTTAAACTTTCCAGAATGACACTTGGTCATGGTCAAGACATATCCTCGGGTCATAAATAATCTATGTACCAAGTATGAGCTTCCAATGATTTTCTATTACAAAGTTAAAGCCCAGACAAGAATACTTTATTTTTTCTGTTATTGACCTCGAATTTACCAAAATGACCTTGCATTAAGGTCATGACATACTATGACGGTTATAAGCATTCTATGTACCAAGTATGAGCATCCAATGAATTTCTATTATTAATAAGATATAGCCCGGATGAGATTGCACAAACAGATGGACAAGTGATTCCTAGATACCCGACTAAACTGTACTTGCCCCC